GGAGGCACATTTGAAGGGGGAAACAGACTGAAAAATGTGAGAAATTTCTGAAAGATATCTGTTTGTGTGGTATCCTTGTTTAGCAGGGGGCCCTGGAACCTGCGGACAGCTCCTAAAAGGGCCTTGGCCAAAAAAGTTGAGAATGATTAAGCTAAATCTAAATTGACTATATTGGTATTGGTATATTGGCATTCAGGGGTTACGTAATAGACACGATTATTTCACAAGGTTCCTTTACTTGTCATCTTGAGTTTTAACTAATAACCTTATTGGTATGTCCATGAGGAGCAAACTGTGGTCCTCTAAGGAAATTTTTGAGCCCTTCCATAGCCTTGCCAGCCAGAAAAAAAAATGTGCTTTAAGAAAACAACACTCCTAGAAGTTTTTTTAAAAAATGATTTGGGTAGATTGCAGGGCTCCAAATCTTTAAAATGTCCCTGTCTTTTTAAAAAAAGTAGAAGTGCATACCTTGTCACTTCATGTTTTGAAACACTACCACCACCCACCACTGCCAAATTTTCAAAATTTCTGGGACTGGTTTGATCCATAGGGAGGGCTAGTTGTGAACATTTGATGCCACAAAAGTTGTTCACCACAATCTAAACCATCCAGGATATTTTCCTTGTGTTGCCCTGGTTGATGACACTTTCACTTAACCTGAAATGGCTTCTCCGCAGCAACTATGGACTGCAAAGCAGATAGAAACCAACTCCCAAGCCCTACAAGAAAACCTGTTTTCAACACTGCCACCATACCTTTCTTGACAACATGATTACAAGCTCAGATAATAACCACCCATGGCACAAAGGAGCCATTTGTTTGCATTACCTGCATGTGTTATTTGATTTTAATGTGAAACTGTACCATGTCAGGAAAAGCATAAGGAACCCATGGTGAGACAATTGAGCATCTCACTGATGTACCTCAGCCTTCCTTGAGATAATGAAGAGACCTACAATCATAAAGGATAGTGGGTGTCCAGCTGTCTATAGTCCAGGGATTGTAGATCCTGTACTTGCTAACATTTCAGCAAGTTTTATGGCATCATAAAGTTTTAAGTGCAGATGCTTATCATGAGCATCCCCATAGCTACACCCTACAGACTTAGAGAACAAAAGATACAGGCAGGATAGTTGATCCACATAAGTAGAACTGATTCTAGTTATTTTTTGTCTCCGCTAGACTGCAGGTCTTTTCTAAAGCTAATGGTTCTTAATGGCCCTCTGTGGACCAAAGCACCCCTCCGAGTATTATTTGGAGAAAAATCCACACAACGTCTTACTGACAGATAACCTATGCAAGGAGGGAAGGATGTTGTAGCCGATGTGATCATATCCTCCCTCCTAATCTGAAAGCCCTGACCACTTAACTTTGTGAGACCTGGCTGTACTGCAGCACTGATTATGCGAGAAGAAAAAGATATGGGAATGACCACAATGATTTCACAAGCACTGGCAGCTCGGGGAAATGGTGATTGACTAATGTAGAGCTATGCTATCTATCCAAAATTATAAAAACAGTCATAACTATATTTTGTGTAAACTACCTGCAAATAAACCAGATAGACTGATAAGATAGGTAGGCCGCTGTCCCTTCAACTTGGCTTGTATTCATTGTTGCTTGACAGAACCAGTGTAAACTCCAGAGCAGTTAGAGGACTAACTATAGTAGTCTAGTTTTGTCAAGGATTCTAAGGTTAGTTGGGAAATTAAGAGGCTAACCAGAATCAACTGAGAGTGCTAGCTGGGGCTTGCAGTTCTGGAAATTGAACATCAGAAAAAGGAACTACTCCTAGCCCTGAACCCATCATTCATTATGGGCATGGCTGTTCCAGCATCTCCTCTCTGCTTATTATTTAGCTGGCGTTTCTCCCTCTCTTTAGTGTGAAGATCATAAGCATCCCTTGTCTGCCTCAGCAGTTAATTCCACTTGGCTACATCAAAGGGAGAGGTGACGCAGCAAAGCCTCCCCCATCAGTTTGGCTGGGACTGGCTGCCACTTGACTCCTCCCCTCCTTTTAGCTGTCAGTTGCAGTGAGCATCCCACCAGGCCATTATGTAACTTCATTATATAACAGTGTGAAAGACTTGATGCCTGAGTGTTGCAGGTTTTCCTCTAGTCTGTTTTCCTTTTGCATCCTATCTCCCAGAGGATAAACCATTCTTACCATCGGAAAACTGCCTGTATTGGTACTATATGGATATAGTAAGTAGACAGCATGGCCCGTGTGTCAGCTGAAGGCTTGGCCCAACAGATTTTGCTGCCTGAGGCAGAGAAACAAATGACACCTCCCCACCCCTAGTTGAGGTAAATAGAATTAAGAATAGGCAAACTGTTTCAGCACCTAAGGCAGAAAAGTCCTATAAGCAGCTTGATTGTAAAAAGAGCAATACCACTGAAATAAGAATTTGCTGCCCTTTAGAGACACCAGAATTCTCCTCAGAAGGGTACATCACTTTGCTGAGTAGTAGTATTGGCCATGCCTAGCCTTTATACATACCATCTCATCTCCTTGAATTGATTCCAAAACATAACAATCAGTTGCCAGGTAAAAAATATATCAAAACTCCCTGGTTGGTACCTTGCTTGCGTACTTATGTTCTTCAGCGCTCCAAGAGGACCTAACATGTATAATGGGGATTAAACATGAAATCCTAGACACATCCACTTAGAAACTGAGTGGGACTTACTCCCTGGCAATTGTTTTTAGGACTGTTGCCTTCATCTTTCAACTAGGCCTTTTCTGAATCATGGGTATTCTTTTCCTCCTCCTCTTCCATCTTATTTATTACTGGTAAAATGATTCTTTTCCAACCTGGTGTCCTCTGGGTGCTTTGAACATCAACTGCTGTCATCCCAGCCAGCCAGCATCAGGCAACCCGTGGCCTGTGAGTTGGATGTGGCCCCCAAGGGCAACCTTAAACCCCTCCTAAGCTTTAAAAAAAACAGGTAATAAAGATCGCAATTTCCATTCCCAGTGGCCTTTGGAGTGCTTTTGGTAGTGTTCTGTTGGTATCAGAGACCTTGGGGGGGGGATCTAATAAGGCCCTCCCCCCTCAAAAATGAAACACAAAACTAATAGTGCCTGGATGGACTCTTCCTGGTTAATTTTTTTATGGCCAAAAAACAGCTCTTCCAATGATGGTCGCTGAGGGCAAAAAGCTGATCCTCAGGCTCTCTGAGATTGCCCACCAGAGATTTATACTTCTCTCCCTTTGTTGGGGTATTGAGATTAGAGCTTTGGGAAGTTTTGCTGTGGTTCCTGGAGTGCTAGTATGACTAGTGACCATGCTTGCTGGTGGTACTGTAGCAGCAATAGAATGAAAAAGTGAATTTGCTGCCTTCTGGTTGGTCTCTTTGTGATGGGGATGTAGCAGAACCCTCAGGGGGCCTGCTGTGTGGCCCAGATGCTGTATCAAGACTGAACAAGAGATCTTAAGGTGTCTCTCACCACAGGGATTGACATTAGATACAGTACAGTAATTACTTTGCTAACCTCTGCTGTTAAGGTGTTCCATTGTGTCAATTGGCTGCTAGTGAGGATCACCGGAATGAAAATGGAAAGTTTGTTTTGACGTAAGCCCCATAGATTTCATCAGAAATGTGCAGCTAAATTAGGACAGATCGAATTGTGGACTTCTGCTGGCAGAAACGGTGACATCCAGAAGAAATAAGAGAGCCAATCCCCCTCCTCGATGCAGCACCTGTTCACCAGGCCTCATACCACCACAATGGAACCTTCCAGAACATCTCATGGCAAACACAGTAGGATATGGCTGCCTGGTTTATTGGGCAAGCTGTGGTGATGAAACAAGTGGGACATAGACTTGAGTAATTATGGTAAAAAATTCAAAGTGAGTCTGACCGAACAGGCTGCTGTAGTTGATACAGGTTCTGCGAATGTAACTATGGCTCCTGCTTGTGCCATGTTAATGGATGAGAAAATTGGGGGAAAATATGTTAAATAAAAAAATATTTCCTTAATCCTAAACCTAGATTAGAAGTGTGTTGAAGTCAAGAAAGCATTTTAAGAGGGCCTCCTGCCTGTGTTATGTCTCATTCATCCTTTGTATCTTTGACACTATAGCACAAAGAGAACACTTTCTGCCATTTATATAATTCAAAACAAGTAATTCACAAAAGGAAATAATGAAAGGTTGGGGACCGGCACCGGGCCGCGGACCGGAGCTTGACGACCTCTGTCCTAGGACATTCTGTGTCTGGCTTTAGAAATGCCTGCCAAAATGCTGTTGCATTTTTACACCAATTTAACATGAGTGCGGTAAACCTTGATGGCAAATTGTTGCAAGTTAAAAAGTTAATGTTGGCATTTACTATTGTGCCAACAGCAAACGTCTGTACTAAGTTCTTGCCTGAAACAATTAACTGTTGAGTTTTATGCCTATTGCATCATGTCAGTGGGTGTCAGTGACATAATGCAATCCTGACCACTATGTTACTCAACCTGAATATAAAGAAGATTATAATTTGTTAGCAGATGTAGTTGTAAATCCAATATATCTGGAGGCAACACCTTGGGGGAGGTTGACATATTTTCTTTACAACTACTTAGCATTTGTTAGGGGCTCTTCATACTCTCTTTTTGCTGAGGGAGTCATTCATCCTGGCTTTGACTCATGAATTAAAAGGTGCTCGCCATAGGACTGGAATATAAGTACTGATCTTTTTTTCATTCCTTTTGACTTTTGGACACATGCTTTTAAAATGTCGTGCCATTGTTTGCTAGTTTTGCAAGGATAGAAGGAAGAGGTTATCTTTTGGAACTGCTTTGTGACTCATGGATTTAAAAAATAAATGAATAGGCAAGTAAGCAACCTGGATGCCCAGTAAATGTCCTAGAAGTCTTGCACACCAACAGACTCTGGGAAAACATCCTTTTTTGTACCTTGTTGCAGTGTTTATCATCCTGTCTTCTTACATTTCCCCCCACTGTGTCTTTCCATTCTGAATCTTAAACCTTATTTCCTTTTATATTATAGATGCTGCCCCGAGCTGTCACCATGGATGGTTCAGCTAGCCAACTCAGCTTATATACTTCCCCATCTTTGCCCAACATTTCCTTGGGACTTCAGGCTACAGTCACAGTGACAAATTCACACCTCAGCGTGAGTACATGCTGCCTGAATATCCTCATGGATGCATTAGAAGCAGAATTTGGAAGTCACTAGTTAGAAATTCACTAAAGTAGTTGTAATTATCTTTTTTATAAGGAAAACATGTAATTATTTCTCAGTAAGTTACATCATAATGCTTTTAGTTATGCCTTTATCACAAAAAGGATTTAATTATAAGGAAGTAGGTATTTTGTAACTATTCACTCCCAGGCTGTAGCCTAGCTAGCAAATCTAGCAGGCAGATATATTTTTCCTCTGTATATTTGGTTAATATTTTATTTATGCAGTGACCATTGCAGTACCATATGGCATTGAATTCTATTGTTGCTTTTTTTTTTTGGAAGAAGTACTCCTGTCTTCTTGTTATAAATCTATTGGTGATGAATTTCATAGTATAGAAGATACTATAAAATTCATCATACTAAATAGGGTTGAAACCTCGACTTACGAACATCCCCACCTACGAACATTTTGACTTACAAACTGCTCCGTTTGGAAATTTTTGCTTTGACTTGCGAATGGAGCTTCGACTTACGAACGGAAAAAGTGTTCTGTTTAAAAGGTGTTCCCCTGCCCTTCTTTAAAGCTAAAAGGTGCTTGGTTTTGTTTAAAAGGTGTTTGGGTTAAAAGGTGTTCTGTTTAGAAGGTGTTCCCTCCCCCCTCCTTTCCTGCCCTTTTTTGACCTAAGTTCATCTTAAGTCAAAAGAAGAAAAATTCTCCCCCTAGTGGTAGAATGCAGATTAACCGGCTTTGCATCAGTTCCTGTGGGAATTACAGTGGTGCCTCGCTTAGCGATCACTCCATTGAGCGATGAAATCGCTTAGCGATGTGGTTTTGGCCATCGCCAGAGCAATCGCTTAGCGATGGCCCCATGGGGAAAAATTGCTTTGCGATGATCGCGGGGAAGCGATCAGCGCAAAGCCCCCATTTTCAGCCAGTTTCATAATGGCCGCCGGAAAACAAAATGTCCACCCGCTGTGTTGCCTCGCTTTAGAGGCACCGAAAATGGCCGCCGCAATGGAGGATCTTCGCATAAGGTTAGTTTTAAAGCCCATAGGAACGCATTAAACAAGTTTTATTGTCAGGTCACTAAATGTAGATACCAAAACCTCTTGCTCCATTTCTTTCCTGGTTCCTCCCTCTTTGTTCAGTTGCAAAGTTCCCCTTCAACAGAAATGATGTTCTACCCCAATACATATTTACCAAAAACACATTCTTTTTGCACTCTTTAATGTTTTGAAATTTTCCCCGTGGACTGGGCTTTGTCCCCCACCTCCCAAAATTGGTATCCAGCAATGACCTATTTATTGCCTCCCTCTGGTGACAGTCAGTAAACTTGGCTCAGATTGGGCATGTGGTACTCGTGCCAGTCTACAACTTGGCTATTTTCAGCATCAGAAGTTGGAAATAGCTGACTGGCAGACGTCACATTCTGCTTGTCCCTGCCATGATTTGTTTTCCTCCCGCAAAGAGCCTACATTTCTGCTTGTATGCTCCAGACACCCAAGCTAAGCTGAAATTAGCAAGACCTCCAGACTGCTATTAATTAATCGGCCCTGAGCTTGGATCCAGTGACTTAATTGGCTAGTAGTCTGTGTTGGGCTACTGTGCTCTAAAAACTGAGCTGCCTGCCATTTTGAAGTTTCCTTCTTATTTTCTTCAGTAGAAACCACTTTGTTTTAATTCCCTTCATGCTGCTTTTTTTGTGGCACAGTGCAAAATATCCAAGGATGCCTCTGTCCTGTCTGATACTGAATAGAATGTTTGAATCAAATTAATTTGCAGGATATTTGCTAGATACAGTAAAGTGAAATTGGCACCATTCTACAACAGTGAAGTTTCTGAGCCCCATTATTCTCTGCAATTTCATTATTGTTTGTTATTTTATTACTATGATCATCATTTACAATTACTACTATTCATAGATTTGGCAGGTCTTTGCTGCTAGGGCTTACAGGCTGAAACAGACATGGCGAAGAATAGAAACAAGAAGGGAAATCAAGTTAGTGATAATTAGGGGATGAATATAAATTGATTGCAAGCTGCAAATGCTTGAACTTATTTCACATAGATGTATACTGTTATCCAGTGATATTTTCAGGCCTGTGAGAATGCCTAAGGACTTCCCTGCCTCACCCTGCCCAGAGTCCTCCCTAACTTTGCACTTTACTGAATAGGTCTAGGCTGCATCCATGACTTAAGCTATGACCCAGTAATTTCTGGCCATTGCAATCTCATCACCTTCAATTGGTTTGGGAACGATTGAAAGAGCGTTTGCAAGAGGTGGGGTGGGGTGGGGTTGCCAGAATAGGTCAGTTCAGACTTACTCTAGTCTCTGAATGAAATCTTGGTCTAATGTCTAACTGATGTATGGTATAGGGTTAACTAGGTAGATACCAAGAAATGTAACATTTGAGTGCCCACAGAGAGCAGTAAGTGTTCCTCAATGGGGAAATGCTTCTGATTTTTTTAAACTTTTTTTAACATTTGTCATCTGTTGGGTTATTGAGATTTTGAAAGTTTTGCCTTACCAAAATATTAACATCAGCTTATTAGAAGGGGCAGGATGTGGCACAGCTTGGAAAAGTTCCGTTTATTTATTTGGTAACAACTCCTAAAATCCACCCAGTAGCTATGCTGGTTTGGGCAATCTGGGCATTTTAATTCAAACCCCCTTTTTCCAAATTCTGGAATGTGGGTCATGTTATTTGTGCTGCAGCTGGACCACCAGCAATCTCTGGGCTTTCATGGTGATGGCCAACACCCTTGCCTTCCCCCCTTTAGGCCTCTCCGACTCTTTCCACTCAGCAGGAAGCAGAGCGTCAGGCCCTCCAGTCGTTACGCCAGGGGGCCCCCTTGACAAGCAAGTTCTTGAGTATGTCATCTATCCCCAGTTGCCTTCTGGGGGTGGCCCTCGAGGGTGAGACCAACAACCATGGACATGCTTCCTTGCTTCAACATGTCCTGCTCCTGGAACAGGCTCGACAGCAGAACACACTAATTGCAGGTGAGTGAGAGGTAGAGATGACCTAGAGAGGATATAGGTCAGCAGAGCAGTGGCTTATGTGACATAAGGTGTAATACTCAGTCTCTCTTGCTGACAGTAGTCTAGAACAAGTGAGAGATGTGGCGGCGGCCATGTGCCATTGAGTCCATTCTTATTTACAGCAACCCTATTCAAGGTTTTCTAGAGACAGAGTACTCCTAGATTGTTTACCATTCCTGTTTGCTTCCTGGGGGTTCCCTGGGTCTGTGCAGCTTGTCCGAGGTCACAGAGGCTAGTTGTGGAATTGAACTCCGAACCCTCTGGCTCTGGAGACAGGTAACCCAGCTCACTCAAGCTATACAGGAAACTCAATCAATGTTAGATGCAGGTTGGTGACATTATTGGCCAATGCCCATTTTGAGTCATGCTAGCTATTTACCAACCATCAACTTCGTTCTAGCTGCACTTTCTCTCCCAGAAGCAACACCTACGTCAGACTTGGAGCTCCTCATATTTCTCCGGGGGATCAGTTGAGTACTGCATTGTTCCTACTGCATAAGTTGTTGCCAGATCAGCAGCAGCTGTGAGAGCTCTTGTTAGTGAAATATCTCTTAATTCAGGGTTCCCCAACTCCCGGTCTGTGGCCTTGCCAGGAATGGGACATAGAGACAAATCTCCTGCCCCCCTGCACATGCAGATGCATGCACACCCCTCCCACGCATGCACAGCCTCTCCTACACACACACAGCCCCACACACATGGCCCCTCCCACGCCCGCACAGATGCCCGCACGCTAAACTGGCCAATGGAGGCAAAAAGGTTGGGGACCACTGTTTTAATTGCTGTTTCAGTATTATTGTTCTCTCTGAAGTGAGAACTGCAGTTGTCTCTCTTCCAGGTTTGTCAGAAGCGGAAGGAAGAGTTAAGTTTATAAAGCAATGTGTGCATTCAGACTGTTACAGAAGTCATGTGAATAAAAGCAGACATGAAGACTAGCAACTTGGCTTGAGGTTTTAAAGTGAAATAAGTTGCCATATTCTGGGAACAATCATAAGGATATATTCTGCTCCTTTCACTCCAGTTCCTTTGCATGGCCAGTCTCCTCTGGTGACAGGTGATCGCATCCCCTCCAACCTGCGGTCTGTAAGCAAGCTGCCTCGGCATCGCCCACTGAGCCGCACACAGTCATCACCACTGCCCCAAAGCCCTCAAGCGCTGCAGCATTTGGTTGTGCAGCAACAGCATCAGCAGTTTCTGGAGAAGCAGAAGCAGCAACAACAGATCCAACTGGGAAAGGTGGGTTACTAGAGAAGTAACTGGCTCATGTAGGGTGTGAGCATCGGGGGAAGGTTTGTGCAATTTATGTGAGTCTGAATTACCAGCCATTGCTTAACAGGCATTGCTAGATGTAGTTTAGAAGTAGCTGGGTTAGTCTGTCTTAGCAGGTTGACAAAACAAAGGGGGAAAATGGGAGAGAAGGAAGAAAAAAGTCAAAATATTGTGGCACCTTAAAGACTCAAGAGTGCAACTACACAGTGAGCGATATGTGAATTCACTCACATTCACTTGCTGTGCAGTCACTCTGGAGAATTTGGGTCTGTTCAATTTAAATGGCCTTACAGGGAGACAGCCTTGTTTGTTTGCAGCTCTGTTGAAGGCCTGTAGGAGGTATGGCTCAAAGGAACTGCATTAACAAGCTGTAAAAAGGCTTTTCCTCCTGTCATTTCCTTATCTATTTACCTTTTAAAAAAATGTTTAGGTGCCCTAGCATATCAGTGCTGGGAACAAGCTGTTGAAAAAAAAATAGAAGTCTTGCCAGCTTTCCAAGCCATTTCTAAGCAGTAGGGGGGAAAAGGGTTGCTTACTTTTAGTTGAGAAAAGGAGAAAGACTTAATGAGACTTTTAAAGAGGCTTTGCCTTGTCCTTAGCTCTTAAAAAAAAGAAAGAAAAAGTCTTGCCAGTGGGCTTTGCATTGGGTCAAGTGATCACATGTCTTAACTGATTCAAATTGATCCATTATTTTAAAAAACTAGAAGCCCCATCAGCAGAAGGAAAAACTATAGATTTGGAGTTTGAGGGAATTCAGGACAGATTTGCATTTCCCTTTGTGATGTGTGAGCTACAGGAAAAAAAATGCCAATCAGCCCACCCCAAATATGTAGCATTTCCCACATTTCCTTCTACAGTGGTGCCCCGCTTAACGATTACCCCGCTCCACGACGAATCCGCTTAATGATTAGGTTTTTGTGATCGCAAAACGATGTTTAGATATCAAAAACCCGCTTTATGATGATTGGTTCCCTGCTTCGGGAACCGATTTTTCACTTTGCGACGATCAAAACAGCTGATCGTCAGGTTTCCAAAATGGCCGCCCGCTGTTCAAAATGGCTCCCCCGCTGTGTTAGGGACGGATTCTTCGCTCTACAGGGAGCAGAAAATGGCCACCCTATGGAGGATCTTCGCTTTATGATGAGGTATTTCGCCCATTAGAACACATTAACTGGTTTCTAATGCATTCTAATGGGCTTTTTACTTTTGCTTGATGACGATTTCGCTCTACAGCGATTTCGCTGGAACGGATTAATGTCGTCAAGCGAGGCACCACTGTAGTGTCGTTGCACCCTAAGTTATTTATTTCATTGTGAGCTCATGGATCAAAATCGACTTCAGCAGACACAATTGAAACTTGTAGTCTTTAGATTGCCAGAATATTCTGCATTTCCCCCCTCCCTTTAATTTTGCTAGTATATTGATCTGAGGGGCCATATCCCTTCTTGTCTCCTCGTTGTCACTCCTGGCATGTTGTAGCCTGACTGGGACTTAAACCAACACTTGAAAAAGATATTTCTAGATTACAGTTCCCAGAACTCCCAGGCCACTTTTGCCAGTGTGTTCTGGCAACTGTAATCCTTAAATATGTTTTCCAAGCTGTGATGCAAACTTCTCAGCCAGTCTTGGCCTGTTTTAGGACAGGAGAACAGCATGCTTATGGAGCAGCATGTGTATTTTTCTTAGTTTCTTTCATTCCTGTGATCTGTTTAAATACATGGTGTCTGAGATCCAAGGACATTTCAAAGTAATGAGAACAGCCGAGTTCTCTGCTTTTTCATTTGGCCCTATGGTCTGTCAGTACGTAGTAAAGCACTGCCATTAAAATTGCTAGTTGAAGTATAGTATGTTTTTCTGCTTTCCTCCCCTCTTGCAGATCATAACAAAGACTGGTGAGTTGCCACGACCACCCACCACCCACCCTGAAGAGACAGAAGAGGAGCTGACTGAACAACAGGAGACTTTAGGCTTAGCCATGGGCCGAGGGCCATTTGTGGTGGACGGGTCAACAGAAGGTGAGGGGACGCAGGATGGCCTGGAGGAGGAGGAAGAGGAAGAAGAAGAGGTGGAGGAAGAGGAGGAAGAGAAGGGGGCTGAAGAAGAACGTTGCTGTCTCCAAGTAAAGGACGAATCTGGGGATAACAGGCTGGAAGAAGAGCAGGAGGTTGAAGAGCTTGGAGTGACTTACAGGCAGGTGAGGCCTTCATTTATTTATTTTAATTCTGTATTATTTCATTTATATTCTGTCTCTCCTCTAGTGAGTCAAGGCAGCATTAATGGTTCTGCTGCTCCCTACTTCATCCTTTCTACCACTCTGTGAGGAAGGTAAGGCTCATCGTCAAAAGAGACATTAATCATGGGCCATCATTAGAAGCATTGCTGTCTTAAGAGGTTAGCTTCAGTTGTCATAGCACAAATTTTCTCAGCTTTACAAGTTGAGCTAGCTTAGTTTTATTTGATTGGTCAGTGGGAGATAACCGTGGCTTTGTTTGCAAGTTCAGTGTAGAGACACTACATCTTTTGAGGGGAAAACGGTTTACTAGCTTCTAATTGTGAAACTTGTCATTGAACCTACCAACGTGAATTTGACCCAACTCCAGGATGCATTGGAAGACAGGAGGGCCTGGCGTGCTCTGGGTCCATGGGGTCATGAAGAGTCGGACATGACTTAACGACTAAACAACAACAAATTGTGAAACTGGCATCTTGTCCAGTTTGGCCCTCAATGAGAAGTAGAACTTGTATGCTCGACACTCAAATACCACACTGACCAGATGCCAGCCAAATCCATGTTGTTTCTCCTTCCTGTAGAAACAAAGAGGCATGTAAAGGAGGGGACTGACATGACTGGACAATTTGTCAAGGGGAATCTTTACCTTTTTACCTATACCTAACTGACTTTAATGTATTGAATTTTATAGTATGTTAATTTCATCCAATATAAATGATTCTGTAGTAAATTAGTTTTTACTTGTAATTTTTATTGTTTTATGAGAATTGCAAGCATCTTTGAGCACTACCTGGTAATGGAAAGTTGGGGTAGGAATGTAAATAATAATAATAATGCTGCCTTTTGATCAAGGTCTGGATTTCAGCTCCTTTAAACATTTTCATTGTCTTGCGGAAAGGTCAGAAGTGAGCTTGTAGGTAGGAGAGAGCAGAAGTTAGGAAGAGTGATTCTTTGGACTGCAGCTTCCAGAATCCCCAGTGAGCAGAGGGAATTGTGGTCCAAAACAGTAACTTTTCCAGGCTCTAGGGGAAGGTCATGCAACTGTATAGGAGCAGGATCACAAGCATTAGGAATATGAAAAGGGAAAGGCTTATTTTGCTTCCTATTCTTCTCCCTGTTCATCCAAGACAGAGTAGTGGAATCTCCAAAAGGAAGAATGACTCATCTTCCACCCCACAGTCATCCTTCCTGTCTTTCTCCTGCCCTTGTTTTCTCTGCATCCTTTCCATTTCTGTGCATCATTCTAATGTATGAGTCATCTTGTCTTTTCTCCCCTTTCATTCCTTCATTTCTCTTGTGCACCTAAATATTTCATCAGTTCTACACTGGAATGTATATTTGGCAAACACATGAAAGTGTCTGTCTTCGGGGAGGGGGGGAGATTTGGAGGTTGAAAAAAAAAGAGGATGCCAAAGGATTTTTGAGTTGTAGCATGGAGTGTGGCATGTATGTGGCTTGTAGCCATTGCTAAAAATTTTCTGTAGTACATTTGGGAAGACTTTTTTCACTTTGGTTGCCTTCCAGAACTTTGTGCCATTATCATTCAGTTGGAGCTAATTTTCACCATCATGGAAGCATGCAAATTCTTTATCATTATTTCATGATGTATGCAAGCTTCAGCGTGATATGACATGACCACACCACTGAAGATTGCATCTTGAAAACCTCTACACTGACTGGTTTGACTAAGTTAGGCTGTAGACATAGACCTGAATCTAAATAGGGGGTGGTAACCTTGCAGATGTTGTTGGATTGCAACTCCTGTAATATCTCACAGTTAAATATACTGTCAAGGACTGGGTGAAATCTGTAGTCCAACAACCTCTGGAGGGCCATATTTCTGTAACAAGCCATATTTGGAAAATCAGGACTCGGATGTTTTGTTTCTGCTGCTCTAGGAGCTAGGACCTAAACAAGTAGGTTCCAATTACTGTACATCAAAAGGGATGTTGGCCAAATATTAGGAAGAACCTCCTGATAGTCTGAACAGAAGGGACAGCCAAGGAAGATGGTGGATTTCTGTTTGTTAGAGATTTCGGAGATATTATAGCAATAGTTATTCAGCAATGTGTGGTGGGCTAGATAATCATTGCTATCCTGTCCAGCTTCAAGATTCTGTGAATGCATATGAAATGCAAAAGTGACACCATATACCACAGTGCATCTGCACCTGTAATTGAAGATAAATCATAGATGTATCTTTATGCTATGCATTTAGCATAATGTTTAGTTTGACCCTTGTGTTAGCAGTGAAATCCAGCTTTCAAAGAAGATCAGGCAGATTGCACTGCAGATCAGATCCCATCTGTATGCTGGAATCATTTTGGTGATTGCACAAGCTCAGGATTCTCTGTCTGGGTGCTTCAGCTTTCACACTGTTTTAATTTAAAATCAAGTTTCTTTTAGGCCTCAGGATTAGGCTTTGAAGTGTGTGAACAGCACCTAGCGAAGACTGAACAATAAGCATGGGAGATAATGAGATTTCAACACCCTGTCTGCCTGATTCCTTCCTTCTTTTCATTGATTAACTAAAACAGAATAAGTTGCAAGCATAAGCCAATATGTGCAATTTGTCTATTTTCTACTGGCTTCAGCTGTCCAGAAGACTAAAACTGGCTTGTCTCTTGGTGCAAAAATGTGTGGTTTTAAAGTGAAAAATATGCAGTTTTATGTATGAGAAGTAATTTTATAGAAATGAAGCAGTTCAAAAACACCCTTCAGTAAGCACTAGCTGCTTCCTAGAGACTTGTACAGTTTGGGTAGAGATGGTAACTAGAGATGGGGGTATTCATATTCATACATGAATATCCCCACACAGGTGGACATAACAAGGGTCCTGCCCCCTCGAGCCGGACTGTCCACTCACCTTCCACTGTTGCTGCGGGCTCTGCACTCCCTTCCTGTTGCTTCGGAGCTTGCGGTTTGCGAGCCACTCCTGGTAGGAGGTGGAAGGGTAAGCCTCGCTGCAAGGTCGAAGAGTGGCTTGCAGACCGTGAGCTCCAGAGCGATAGTCTCTCCATCTCTAATGGTAACTGTTTCAAGCTCAGATATTAAGGTCATATTTTGACTAGTCTTTTTTCTTTCCTTCCTTCCCTTGCACAATTTTCACAGGTATTTGCAGATGCACATCAGCTGCGGCCCCTTCAGCTCTACCAGACACCCCTGAATATCAGCACTCTCCCTCATCAAGCCCTCAGCCGCACCCAATCTTCCCCAGCCAGCACTAGCCTGAAGAGCAGTACAGCTGAACCCGTGGCCAGCCATCTTTACACTACAGGTAGGAAGAGATGCAAACCTTTCCCTCCTGAAGGCTGAAAGTTCAGAGATCTTAGCTGGCAGTTGTGAACCATAAGTGTCAGCGAGCAGGGTTGGGGAAATCTGGGAGCCGTTGTGCAGAAAACAACTTTTCAAAGCTCTGCATGGTTATATTTGTATGTGTTTTCTTACAAGCCATATCCCCTGCCTGAAATCTCTTCAAGATGTGCAAAGAATGCTTTGTTTAACAGATCCCAAGACTCTAGACCTGGAGTCTCTCTCAGATTAATCTGTTACCACAAGATACATCTCTTTCAGCAGCTAGGCATCCTGAACCAGATAGCCTTTGGATTAGCATGGTGCCTTGTGAGAGGAGCCTCATTCAAGTACATAGGCTGCTATGGGTTCTCTTCCACATTCTCATCAGATAATTCC